ATTTCAATTTTCTTTTTGCACCTGTCCAACTCACAGTTTTGGACTGATTTCCTTCGAACTTTCAGGATGTGCTAAGTTCACCGAGTTGTATAACATATAGTTCGGGTTTTTTGAGGTTACTGACCTGAGGTCAGTTAGAGGTCATTACGTCGTAATGCTAAGCCTATGGGGAAAATACTTAATTCGGAAAACACTGGATATATCCGCTTCGTTTCATCACTTTTGTGCTTTGAAACCATAGTATTAATTAACATAGTAATAGAAACCATAATTACTTAATTAACAGCAGATCACTTGGTGCTTCTTTGTTTGGTGTACTTATCCGTGGGTCAGGTCAAATGAGGTCAACTGAGGTCAAATGACGTTTTTGCCAATAACTTGGCACATAATAACGCTAGAGCTTAAAAATGGTGTCGTTGTGTTCCTGGTGATCAGCCGAATCGAATGATATGTGATATGATGCAATTTGGTTAACTTGAACTTAATTAGTTAATTAAAGTTTACTTTAAAATTAAGAACAACTTTAAGTACCTTGAAACAAACAAAAAAGTAAATCATTCGACGCGCCTTGACGTGCTGAGTTCACTGGTGCTTGTCTTTTTTCTCTATCTTACCCTTCGCCCCAGTGGGGGGGGGGCATATGTTACCACCCTGTCGCGTTTTTTGCGTGTGAATAAAAAACCGCGGCGCGTAGCGCCGCGCCGCTTGGGGTAGCTTTTGGTACATCAATTTTGGATAATGTGTGAAATTTTTGACCCCAGTTCATGTCAGGTCAGGTCACCAGGTCAAGTTAACTGACCAAGCCCAAAAAAAGTTTGCAATCATGTCCAGCCTGCAGTGTTTGTCAGAAAGCTTTTAAACTTGGTGGATTGCATGCTGTTATGGGCGCCTACAATTTGTATATCTCGAATTTTTTATATCCGTGACCTAGGGTCAGGTCAGTGGCGTGACATTTCCATTGCAAGTCAATGGAGAAAAATGAAAATGCCTCTAGATCCGTGTGTACGCATCGGAACAGTCCACATATTTCAGAATCACAATGATTTAGTCCGCTCGTGATGACCAAGGTGTCAATTTTTGCTGATAGCCTCTAGACAGGTCATCCGAGGTCACTTGAGGCTACAAACAGTTTTTTTTTGCCAATAACTCGCGATTGGAAAGAGATAGAACGCTGGGGATGGTCTCATTGTGTTTGTCTTGTTGAGACGCATCGACTGATATGCAACATGACCTTTTCCGGTAAGGTCATGACCTTGACCTGAGGTCAAATTTTCAAGTTGACCTTTTAAGGTCAAATTGTAGTTAATTCGACGCGTCTCGGCGAGGGGAACATGATTATGGCAATAGAAATGTCGTGGCTTTTTTAGTCAAAAGTTATTGTTGAAAAACACTTTTCGTAAAACAGCTATTTTTGGAGTTTTTGCCCTCTGGAGGCTAAACCGTTGACCTGAGGTCAATATTGATAATTACCTGTTCAAAAGAAGAGTTCAAAAGCTATCGATTGCTGTTCCATGCGTTTTTCTAGCTACCATAGTTCCTGAGATAGCGGCATGTTTTCTGAAAAATATAATGACAATTGGCAAATTTTGACCTTTAATGACCTCTGGTGACCCCAATATTGCTCTAAGGTGAAAAATGACCGAAATACTTTCAAACGTACGCATTGAGAGCTATCGACTCCTTTTTACCACGTCTTTCTAGCCCTCTTAGTTTTTGAGTTAGAGGTGGGTGGTAACATATGCCCCCCCCCCCCCCCACTAGGGCGAAGTTGGCTGAGACCGCCACTGGGGCGCGGGTTAATTAGATCAAAAGTTATAAGTGAAATTTTTGAACTGTTTTTCAGCGAAATTTTTACATTTATACCCCCCAAAAACCCCCTAAATATTGACCTAGAGCAACCAAATTTGCACAGGGACGAGAACTCCTGGGGGCCCACCTACCTACTAAATTTGGTGTTTGTAGGTGCCATAGGTTCCAATCGCGAGGGGGGGCGTCGCATCAACCCCTCACCCCCCTGCCAGGCCGTGTTATGAAAAATGCCCTGCCAGGGCGAGGGTTGAAAACTTGTTTTCGCGTAAGAATGACTAAATCATTCACAGAATGTGTTGAATAAATTAGAATGTGTTGACAGTCGCAAGGCTAAGGAATTTAAGATCTAGAAATAATGTTGTGACACACACACGAATTGCTCAACACTCGCCGACCTATATGTACGGGAGTGTCATTATTCTACCATTTTCTTACTACTATGAATGCGTTTAAGATTGCTTGGATTAGCTAAGTATGCTAGGATTGGGCTATAATTTCGTGAGAGGGGTCCAGTTTGCAGGACACCTCCTACACCTACACATGAATACCCGCCCCATAAGAGCTTCAAATCTATCTGAGAATCCTCTTACCATGTGAGGTCTCCCGATAGTGTTGGGGGGGGGGGGGGCGGGTCCAAGCCGGTCTTTCGAGCACTATACTAGTTTAACCCGCGCCCTGCTGGGGGGAGGGGGTGTTTGAACACCCCCTTTGTGGTTTTTCGCGAATGTCTCAAAACGGCGGCGCGGAGCGCCGACGTTTTTGGTACACCTTATTATGCATCAATTCTACACATGTTGTAAAAATTTCAGACCAAGGTCATTCAAGGTCAGGTCACCAAGTCACTTGAAGTGACCTCACCTCATAAAAAGTTTCAATGCTCAATGCTGCCATTGCTACACCGAGTGACCGATCGCTATGAAACTTTCAGCGATTGATAAGGGTAACAGTATCTATAAAATGTATATCTAAGAATTTTGATATAGGTGACCTAAGGTCAGGTCAATTTTTGCGACCTCCCCATTATCCCTCGCCCGCACATGCCATTTTCCCATCCTAGAACGCACATGGGGGGGGGGGGTTGCCACCCCCCCGCGCCATTTCGTTCCTGTTGGAGATAGAGCTTAGCAGTAAAAACCAAAAAGATTCTTTGGGAAAAGACGAATCCAATGATACCCAGTTTTACCTTCTCAGGTCAGTCATTGACCTTCCAGGTCAGGTTAAACTAAAAAATGTTGCTGTTTTGGGTCACCGTTGAATATCAAGTGTGCTGCTTATCAGATACCGATGATGATGCTGTTTTCTGGTGCCAAGCCAGCTAGAACCTCTTTGTCACACTACCCGACCAGAATTTTGCTGCTGAGGTCATTTCAGGTCAAGTTAGGTCAAGGTCAATTATATGTGTTTGTATGTCTGTGTGTGTCTGTGTGTATACTGATGTGTGCACCGATTGTTTTTGGGTCCATATTGCATGAAATCATGATCTGAGAAGCTTTTACCAAAAATGCAGTCAAAAAACTTCAAAAAAAGTAAATTCAGCTTGCCTAAAACGCAATTATCTTAGATGACCTAGGTTGACCTTGACCCTGACCTTGACCCCTGTACATCGTCGGACAACATGTTCCATGATAGGTGGGAGGTAAGACTGGCAAAAAAGGCCGAAATCAGGGTGTCAAAAGCTCATAAGGCCCATGGCAAACGCAAGATGTTGAGAATTGGCCATTCGGGTCATGACATGACCTGAAAAACAAGGTCATATCTCCGAAACCAAAAATCACAGAATCTTGAAATTTTCAGTGTAAATCAAGAAAGGATAGAGGAGCAGCTATACGAAAAATCAGCCTTCTAGCTCTAAAAATGTTGAGTGCAGAGCAGAAAGACTACCTGGGGGGGTGGCAACCCCCCCCCCATGTGCGGGCGAGGGTTATAAGTCAATGGGATAAAATTGAAATGCGCCTCTTTTGGACGAAAGACATTACAAACACTCCCAAACACTGAATTACAAGTGGTTTAAACACACTGAAAATGAAAATGGTGTCCGTGACCCCTATTTATGCCCCTGAGGTCATTTCAGGTCACGAATGGTGTCTAACAGTTTTTTCGCAAATAACTTTTGATAGAGGCATGCTAGAGCGGTGAAAACGCCTTAGATGTGTTCAGCTCGACAATACGGATCGACTGATATGCAACATGACCTTTTCCGGTCAGGTCATGACCTTGACCTGAAGTCAAATTTTCAAGTTGACCTTTCAAGGTCAAGTTATAGTTCATTCGATGCGTCTTGACGAGAGGAACACGATGCCGGTAAAAGTAAGCTCGTACAAGGCTTGGGTCAAAAATTATTGCAGAAAAACTGTTTTAAAAAAATCGGCTATTTTTGCAGTTTTTGCCCCCTGCAGGCAAAACCGTTGACGTTAGGTCAAATCTGAAAGCATTACCCAGAAAGGGCGTTAATAGGGCTATCGAATGCGCTTTTCCGCGGCGCTTTAGCTCTGTTGGTTCCCGAGTTATGCGTTGGCTTCCTGGAAATTGTCGACATTCGACCTGAAAATGGGCGAAATTTTGACTTCAATGACCTCTGGTGACCTGACCTTTGACCTGACCAAAAAAAGTGACCAAGGTGATTTCGTCATTATTTTTGGCGCTCTTTCGAACACCGCCTTCCGCTTATCGCTACGTGGCGCAGGAGCCGAGTTAGAAGGGGGTGTTCAAACACCCCCCCCCCCCCAGCAGGGCGTGGAAATCCATGACCCCCAGCCGGGCGCGGGTTAAGCAGCCTCACACCGTTCTGAGGTAATCTGCAATAATCTGCACAGGGCTCTGAATGCAGGTTGGTAGAGATAGGACATCTACAAGTCACAACTCTTACAGGATCCCCATAACCTGCCCTTTGATTCAAGTGAGGCATTTTGATATCCATTTTCAGGTCAAGCTAGGTCACACTCTAATCACAGAGACTGAATGGCAGTCTCTAAGGACCCCATACTGCTATATGAGGGCAGGGTTTTCATATCCCTACAACGACTCCTAAATCCCTACGCTTTCCTTTAACTACTCCCTTGGAGGACCCGACACCGGTCTAAGAGCCTACACACGCACACGCACCCCCACCCCATCCACACACACAACCAATCCATGAAACAATTCTATCATATTGACCCCGAAAGGCCAACTTAAAAATTGAAGGGGCGCCATAACGTCCAGTAGTTGGGTAGGCATTGAATGAACCATATGCATTACGCTATGCATATTACATACTGCATTTTGTATACCTTGATACTAGTAGCTCGGAATTTGCCTCTAGCTCGTGTTCGCACTGTATTTGTGACTGCTTTGCGCGTGCAGGATTGTTGCGAGGGCTGCCGACTGGGCCTGGTAGTCGGCCCCATGGGCATGGGCTGCTCCTTCACGCGCTTCAAGCTAGGCCAGCCGTGGGAGAACAGTTTCGTGTCGTGCTGCATCGACCGCTCGGCCGTGGAGCCGGCACTGCCGGCCGCCCGGCCCGTGCTGCCGGCCACCGCCGCCCACGGCCTCCAGTCAGGTATGTATCATCCCCCGGCACCAGCCAGTACATTCCCCCGGCACCAGCCGGTACCGTCCTCCCGGCACCAAACAGTACCGTCCTCCCGGCACCAACCAGTACCGTCCTCCCGGCACCAACCAGTACCGTCCTTCCGGCACCAGCCGGTACCGTCCTCCCGGCACCAGCCGGTACCGTCATCCGGCACCAAACAGTACCGTCCTCCCGGCACCAACCAGTGCCGTCCTCCCGGCACCAGCCAGTACATTCCCCCGGCACCAGCCGGTACCGTCCTCCCGGCACCAGCCAGTACATTCCCCCGGCACCAGCCAGTACCGTCCTCCCGGCACCAAACAGTACCGTCCTCCCGGCACCAACCAGTGCCGTCCTCCCGGCACCAGCCGGTACCGTCCTCCGGCACCAAACAGTACCGTCCTCCCGGCACCAACCAGTACCGTCCTCCCGGCACCAGCTAGTACCGTCCTCCCGGCACCAGCCAGTACCGTCCTCCCGGCACCAGCCGGTACCGTCCTCCCGGCACCAGCCGGTACCGTCCTCCGGCACCAGCCGGTACCGTCCTCCCGGCACCAGCTAGTACCGTCCTCCCGGCACCAGCCGGTACCGTCCTCCGGCACCAAACAGTACCGTCCTCCCGGCACCAGCTAGTACCGTCCTCCCGGCACCAGCCAGTACATTCCCCCGGCACCAGCCGGTACCGTCCTCCGGCACCAAACAGTACCGTCCTCCCGGCACCAGCCGGTACCGTTCTGCTGTCCCCTCATGATGCGATGAATTGCTGTGTCCCTCCACTGTATGGTTACCCGTGTTCTCCCTCTCTCTCTCTCTCTTTCTCTCTCTCTCTCTCTCTCTCTCTCTCTCTCTCTCTCTCTCTCTCTCTCTCTCTCTCTCTCTCTCTCTCTCTCCCCATCCCTCACTGTATGATGACCTGCTGTCTCTCTACCCCCACTGTGTGATGACCTACTCACTCCCGATCAGCAGACTCTGAGAACATCTGTGACTTGTTCGTGGGCCAACTGTGCGCGCACATCTGCGTCTCGGTGCCCGGCTCGTACCGCTGCGAGTGCCGGCCCGGCTATCTGCTTGGTCCAGACGCCAAGTCCTGCACGCTGGACAGCGGAGCCACCAGGTCAGTGTCCATCGCCACCCACCACACTCGACACCTGTCCATCGCCACCCATCACACTCGACACCTGTCCACCGCCACCGCCACTCGACACCTGTCCACCGCCACCGCCACTCGACACCTGTCCAGTGTCCACCACCACCCACCACACACGACACATGTCATTAGGAATTATGTAAGGATCTGTGAGGTATAGGGGAGAGTGGGGCACATTCGTGTAAAAATGGATAAATCCATACTGTTCTTTGGTTGGTGCAAGGGTAAAATTGTTTCCTTCCTTCCTAAAACATTTCCGAGTCAGGATCACGAAAATGGATGCTCTGGAAAAAAGTTTGGAAAGTGCACGAATAATACAACTTTTCGTTTTTTTTTATAAAGCATGATAGCGGATACAATGTTGTTTTCTACAGCGGACGAATGGCGGCAATGATAGAATATTTTCATAATTTACCTCGAGCTCGGTCAGTCACTCGTGTTCCCATACACTGCTGAAAACGAATGTGCCCCATGGACGAAAGTGCCTCACTCTCCCCTACATGTATGAGCAGAACGTACGTCTTCACAGGTGTCATACATAAGGGTGTGAGACACCCCGAAAAATTCCCGACGGGTATCTTAACTTATCAGTGTAGAAACATGCCGTAAACGCCATTAGACTGTCAATACAAGATTTTTCTTAAATCAGTCTTTTTCGACACGAAACATACTTGTATGATACAATGAATGTCACCATCGTGTTCTATACCCAAAGGTACCCATAAAACATTTTTCATACGCTGCGAATGCCAGTTTTGATTTTCGGTGCTATATGCTTACCTGATTGCCCTGACCTTGACCTTGACTTATGGTTTACTGACCGCTTCATGAATCTGACATTCGTGCAGCACTTTTATGAAGGATTGTGTACCTACAGTTTTGACAGAGTTTATGAGGACGAGGAGAGGTGCTAAGTGCGAGGTTCTAGACTTCATGCTACTGAAGGCCCAATTCCAGGTGTTTGACCTGACCTTGACCCCACCTGTGACCTCACAAGTCAACTTTCAAATGCTCATCTGAAGCGTCTGGTCGCGTTCTTTCGCTTGCCGCTTCGTGCGTTTTGCTGCGCCTATTGGTTCTCGAGTTATCGGCTGGGGGCGTCCAACGCCCCCCCCCCCCCCAAGCAAACGGCGGGTGGCGAATACTCCAGCGACTGCCGGGTTAAGCCCGTTGTACACGGGCAACTCCCGTCGGCAACTCCCAGCAATCGGTTGCTCGGCGACAGCCTTTTCTGTTGCTCTGGGTTGCTGAAGTGCTGCCAAATGCTATTCAGGGTTGTTCAAAAATTGCCCGATATGTCGGCAACATCCGACGATCGCCGACGGTCGCTGAGCGTGACGTCACGATAATTATAACCAATGGACGAGCTGTTGCTCTCGATCGCCGATAAGTTGAATATTTTGATTTTTCTGGCTGTTGCTGCGGTGTTGCTGGCCGCTGCTGTACGAGCATGCAGCTATGGAGCAGCAAATAGGTAAAATATTTACAAAATACCGTTCTCTTAGATTTTTCAATGCCGATTACTAGTCATGATATCTGAAAGGGATTTTGACAGGTTGGATATATTGGTCTCAATTCTGATTTATTGGTGGGGATCAGTGCCGGAGAAACCGTGGAGGACCGTCCCCCCGGGCCCCATTAATTCCATTTTCTGGGGGACCTGGGGCATAATATATAACGAAAGTGGGCCCTTTTTACTTATGTTTTAAAGAAATTTGAAATTGTTTTAACGGACTTTCACTGGGTAGTGGGTAAAAGCTATTATTGGTCCCGGTACTCCGACTTGTATTGAAAAGTCTTCGATGGGGCACACATAGGTTTAAAACAGACAAAAATCAGGTAGCCATTTTTCGCAACACATCAATCAAATTTCTAAATATCCAGCACGTGATGCACAACTTGCCTATTCTCATATGTAAAACACAGCCAATAGGTACACTTCCTCTTCCAAAGAAAAACTACTGTTTTAGAGCACTGTCCCATATGGGGCTAAGCGAGAATTTACCCACGCCCTGGTTTAAAGACGGATTGCACACTCGAATTTCGATCGCTTCTCTAACCACACGGCGACCCCATGTCGGCTCCACAGCTGCAGTGCTGGCCTGCCTCGGGTCGAACTGCCGCCCACACTGCAGCCAGTGTTCGGCCAAGGGGGAACTGTCAGTCCTGCAATGCGTTAGATCCGCGGCGTGCTCCTTGAGCCGTACGTTCTTGGGGCGCCCTGTTTCACCAACGTACGTTGCACCACACTCGCACGAGGTCTTGTACACCACCCCTTTGGAGAAGCACGCCGCGGATCTAACGCATTGCAGGACTGACAGTTCCCCCTTGGCCGAACACTGGCTGCAGTGTGGGCGGCAGTTCGACCCGAGGCAGGCCAGCACTGCAGCTGTGGAGCCGACATGGGGTCGCCGTGTGGTTAGAGAAGCGATCGAAATTCGAGTGTGCAATCCGTCTTTAAACCAGGGCGTGGGTAAATTCTCGCTTAGCCCCATATGGGACAGTGCTCTAAAACAGTAGTTTTTCTTTGGAAGAGGAAGTGTACCTATTGGCTGTGTTTTACATATGAGAATAGGCAAGTTGTGCATCACGTGCTGGATATTTAGAAATTTGATTGATGTGTTGCGAAAAATGGCTACCTGATTTTTGTCTGTTTTAAACCTACATTTGATTTTTGTCTGTTTGTATGTGTGCCCCATCGAAGACTTTTCAATACAAGTCGGAGTACCGGGACCAATAATAGCTTTTACCCACTACCCAGTGAAAGTCCGTTAAAACAATTTCAAATAAGCATTTACCTGGGTATTAACTATTAAGACATGACGTTTTAAAGAAAATTAACCACTTGGGCCTGTATTGGTGTTCTAAATCTCATTCCAAATATCGGAGCCCTATATCAGTGAGTAGATCTCAATAAGTCGGAGTTCACAGCAAGCTAGTGGGCCCAGTCTGAAGATTCCAGGACAAATCTTCGTATGGCATTTCTTCGTCGCGCAATTCTTCGTCCGCAAATCTTCGTCGGCGCATTTATTCGTGTCGCATTATTTCGTCTCGCATTTCTTCGTAGGCGCAAATATTCGTAGCGCATTTCTGCGCCCATGAAGGGAGCTGTATGACCCCTGAAAGCACCCATACAATAAAACAATCGCTTTGGACTAATTATCATTTTAATGATTATCAACCCATGCCACAGATAAACAACATAGGGGAAGGTGGGGTAAGACGGCCCAGCGGGGCAAGACGGACCACCAGCCCTCCCGGCTGAACCGCTGCTGGTATCTACTGCTTTATGCACTCACTATGTTTGTTTTCCTTCGTAACAATGGCCACCTTGAGCTCATGCTGCTAGGATGCATAGCTTTTGAGTTATTGAGAAAAATGTTGTTTTTCGTCAAACCGATCTAATATACGAGGTCTACGGGTGATTCAATTACGGCGCCTGTCTTGCATGATTAGTTTCTATTTTGCACTTAACCCTATTCCTGGCGGGCTCCGCCGGGACAAGAAACTGGCGGGGGGGGGGGCCGATTCGGCCCCCCCTGAGATCTCGAGAACGAAGCAAGATAGCGACAAACGGTAAACGGCATCGGATACGCACGGTCAAGATCTACAATTTTTACAAAGGTCATTTTCAGGTCAGGTCAAAGATGACGTCACAGGGGTCGAAAAAGTCAAAATGGCGGCGCTAGATATGGCGAGAGTTTTTCTCGAATAACTTTCGAATTAGTCAAGATAGGAACAAACTAAGGGCATCATCGTGATCCTCTCGTCAATCCGCATCGAATGATATATATGTTGACCTCGCAAAGTCAAGGTCAAAGGTTGACCTCAGGTCACGTGACCTCGAGGTCATCATGTATATTAGAGTGTATCGATAACCGAAATTTGCAAGGAAACTGGCATATTATTTGGCGCAAGGACATAAAAATAATATCTGGGCGCAACACATTCCTCAAAACTCAAAATTGACTGACCCGGAACGGTTTTTGTAAACCCCATTCCAACTGCTGCGGACGTAGGATGAAGCTTTAGTTCTCCCCTTTTGACGCTAGATGGCAGTGATTCCAGACTGTCTCTAACTTAATTTCAGACATCTGTAAACGTAAAAAAGCCATTCGGATTAAATTATGCACATTTTTTACATCATTGGTGTTGGTATATTGCTGTTTTTTTCCATTGCAAGTGTTTTTCCATTGCAAACGCATAGCTTTCCACACATTATCACACATAACACAATACACATTACCTATGCATTAGCGCCCTGAGCTCTTAAACACGAACAAGTAAATAGCAGATTAGGCAACTATTAGCAACTGAGCTCCTGCCGCATCGTACTTTAAGGACTACATATAGCCGGTACAATTGTGTTACCAGCGACCAAATGTCAAAGTGGACACTGGTCAGGTGCTCGGTAACTGGTGACTGGTGAGCCAGTTTGCTTTCTGTCCTATATCACGACTAATTCACCATCATCCTTGCTTGCACTTCTCCGTGTTCCGGATTAACGGTCCGCCTAGCAGACAACCGATGAAAGTCAGCTTCGGAGTGACCATTTCAACAAATGTATGCTCTAGTCTGTCCCGTTAAGACTTGCCGTCAAAACAGTATGTCCCGGCGCTGAAATGCCGTCCCAGCAGTACAGCGGACTAGTCGTCAGTGGTTGATTGAACCGATTGAGCCTTGGTTGATTGAACCTTACATTGCCCTCTCCCTCTCGTGTTTTATCATCCCAGCATAGCCTGACTCAGAGCATTGCAGCCATTATGGTGTCTTTTGACTGAGACGCTGCGGCACACAGCCGGTGCCCGATGGTCGACTTTATTCTGATATTGCCCTCTCCCCGCTAATTCATTTATTCATCATACCACGGCCCTAATGTTCTCGAATAGACTAACCCATAGGCTCTAACCGTAACCAAGCATAACGAACAAACCCACTTAGCAGTCTCCGAACGTCTGCTGTTAAAA